ACAAAACTTTGCTACTGTTGATCTTAATAGTTATGATATATAATACAAATTTCTTTACATATCAAACACTTCATAAAACACTTATTTCTATTCCTCACATCATATCACATGTTTTCTGTTTCAGCGTTTAATAGAGTTTGGTATCGACCAAACGTTTCCCATCCTCATGAATTTAGCTGTGGCGCCTTTGAATTCTATAGGTGCATATGCATCTTGGTAACAGAGTCAATAGATCTGTCATTGTTACATAACCAGCTATGAACCATGCTGTGTACATAGTAAATTAGCAGCTGGCAATAGACAATTAACGTGTTACTATAGTGTCCGTACACAAGAGAAGCTGTACTTATTTCTTAACTAGTAAACCACAGTGTGTAGTGCTTAAATTCAGGAAACTTCATTTCAAGAAAATTACTTTCTCAATTTCCCATTTGTGATCTACTGATAAAAGAGGACAGTCAAAACTGCATAACCAAATCAAATTTCATAAAAAAAAATCCTTCCCAGATGTTGTCTGCATATGAACATTTTCAACATGATATAGTATGGTTGATAAATAACTATGTCTTTTAAACATGATAAGAGGTTCAATCTAAGTATGAAAAACATTTTTCAGATGAAGTGAGTCTCTTAAATGAATGAATGTTATCAGTATCTTATTCTTAGTTGGAATTCATTAGTTACAAAAAGAAAATATGGAGATTTCACATTTGGTAAGAGACTGAAGAAACATGTGATGACTGATGAGTTTGATCCGTACAAAACAAGCATGAAGAAGAGGAATGGAAATGGGGTTGTGACTATTAAAGTAGTAATATATGTTGATTATAGCGCAGGCAATGTTGATGTGAATCACGAGAACTTCACGTGTAACTCTGACCTCCTTGTTCAGTACAACCGACCAAATTTTTTTCAGTTTCAAGATATACTACTGTGGTTGGACCACTTTGATCACAGAGTATTTCAGACATTAATGTTACCACCTCTGTCTCTAATCATGTTAAGTTCCCACGGTTTCACTTTGTCTCAAATGAATATAATAAATGGGATTTGAAAGTTTTATATTTTTGTATGAGGGTCCAATAACCACATTTAAATGTTTTCAAATATCATTTATGTTGAAAGCTGAAGCTACCCGGAAAACTTCATTATTCAACATGCCAGTAAGGCTATTATACTTTACTGAAATTACATTGAATTTGTTTCTAATTAAACATCTGCCAATGAACATAGGAAATTTGTGAAATGGCGTGAAGATCTACCAGTCTGTGAGACAGGATCAGAATTTTTTTTTGTGAAATGTTGATGGAAATTTGTGCTAAATTTCAAGATAAAGAGGAATTTTGTATCAAATCAGCATAATTGAGAAAAGAAAGGAAAATAAATATTATAAAATTGAAAGAGTAAATTGAAATATGAACCAAGTTATTGCTCAAAACGCGTCTCGTAAAAAGTTTGATATATCATTTCCGTACAATGAGTTGTCATAATATATAGAACAATCTACAATGTTCATTTCGGCAAACAGGAAATAAAAAGAAAGGGAAATTAAAAAGCTAAATATTATACTTAAATAATGTTAGCCATTCCAACATTACCTAATTGAACACGAATAGTAAAATTTCGAATTTAGATCTTGTGAATATAAAAAAGTAGTTAAAAGAAAAAATCTAATTATTTAATTATCAATAAACTCAATAAATATTTAAAGTTAGCAATCAGATGTGTTGGGATCTAATTTTTTTTAAAGTGGGCGATTCACTGTTTAGAGTAAAATAAGAAATACAGTCGGTAAAAAAAAATCAACCATAATTAATATTACATGCACAGCATATCATAGATGCATTAAAAAATGAAGAGTTATTTTTTCTTATTAATGATTGACATTATTTACTTTACCATTTCTCACAGCAGACTGCAGAGGAATCAAGTCCAATGTTTTGAGATAGTTTTTACTTTGTAAGTGTGAATCAAAGATGTTTTTTTTTTCACTCTTAGAAGATGATCTATTTCAAGACACAAAGATTAGGTTCAATTACATTTTTTTATTATTATAGCTTATATATGTAATTGTAATCTATCTATTTTTAGTTTTTTAATTTTGATCTCTTATTTTATAAATTGTGCACTTTTAATTCATTCATTGACTTGTTATCCAATTCCCAATAAAAATGTTATTATGACAATGAAGTACTAATAATATATAGTACACGTGGAATTTACGTGTTCATAAAATGCTAACATGAGTGGTACACATGGAGTTAATTAACATGTAATACCACGTCAACACCTCACTTCACATTAACATCTTTTTTAAGTATTGAATGACAAGTTAATAAATACTAAAATTACACAATTTTTAACATAGGGACCGACACTGCAAAATTATAAATTTGCTATTAAGCTTAAAAATTATTAACATGAGTTTTGACTCTCCAAACAAAACCTTTTTCATAAGTAGGCAGGGCAAGAAAAAATAAATAAAATAAGTGAATACAACTAATTTTATTAATATCTTAGATCTTAGATGCATATAATATTTATTTAGATAAAAAAGTATGAAATTTGAGAGACTAATTAATCTAAACCCACACTTGGTCGATGAAACGGGTTGAGAACTCAGGATAAGAGTTGAGGCCTAGTTTTAAACAAGAAGAAGCTCGTAGAAGAAACAAATTACTGACAAGCGCATAATTCAATGTCAAGTGCTTAAAATTGCACCAAGAGTGAATAAAAAAGTAACAAGATTAGTATTATTATTAATTAGAAGAAGCCGTTAGAAAAAAAAAAAAAAAAAAAAAAAGAGACTTTGGGAGAGCACGAGGTAGAGCAAGTTGATCATGGTTTACAATTTATGACTAATTTAGTCATTAACTCAACTGGGTACACTTAAATAAAATCTGGTGTTCCTTCTTATGGAATCTTAGTCAAAAGCTTGAAACTTACGTCCTTGGCTACTTTTCTTTGGCCTCTATGAAGGAAAAAATAACTTTTCTTCCTTTTGATAATTCATTACATTTGCATTAGCAAAATACTTTGAGGCCTATGCAAAAGCCACTTTAGCTTAGTTTTATATCCTTTCCGGGGCCAAGAGATACCAACCAACCAGTATTTGTTTGGATTTTCTATCTTTGTTTTTGGATTTGCTGTGAGGAGAAGGGCAGAAAATAGTGGCCTATGATCATGTGTACGACTCTTGTGATTCAAATCCATGGCTCATGCAAATATCTCATTACTGCTTCTATATTCTTGCTGTCTCCTCCAAAGCTGTCAGAGCCCTGTAACATATTCTGATTTTCAGTTGCCTTGGATATCCATCATGCAGCTTTTGCCTACTCATTTTAAACTAAGCTCAACAAAATCTTCTATCTGACTATTCTAAATAATTCAATTTGTCTATGTCATTAAAAGAGAGGCCAAATTTTTAAATCATCTAACTAATAATTTTGGTCTTAAGCAGTTCCAAACCAACTGTATTATTATAAATATATCATGAATTTGGTTTATCAAGTATCATTCTCTCTTAAAAATAGTCCCAGAACTACTGAAATTATAAGAGTAGTTTCTAAAATATTATAAATTGTGCAAGTATTGAAAAAAAATTCAAATTAATCTTTCAATATTATTATGTTTATCCTATAATGACTTTAGTTTAAGGTTTTTACACACAAATTAAAAATAACAGTAAATATATCACTTCTTAATACAATTTTACTAAAATATTTCATTTGTCCAATAAATATATACTACTTTAATTGTGGTGATTGAATACTTTGTAAAAGAATAAATTAGAGAAGTTTATTAATTGCAGTCGGAAAGAAAGATTAGTAAAATATATAAATTCATTCACTAAATTAATGGATATTTAATGTTCTAAGAAGTACTATTATTTATATGATTTTATTAATTTAAGAACTATTAAGGGGAAAATAATAGTTGACGAGTTTATTAAATTTATTACACTTTCCTTTTACTGAAGCAAGTTTTGACTATGATGGTGTTAGGGTGGTGAATTTGTGTTTCTTGAGTGCCGCCCAAGACGTGCAATAATTTGTAGATGTTGTGGCATTGGATAAGCATGATATTTACCCGTAGGAACTGAACCTTTGATGTCGAAAGCTGGGGCCCTAATTATGTGCACCTTTTTTAGATCAAGTCAAGGTAGTAATAAGTTAGTCCATTATAACAGGATGGCAAATATACTCATATACTTTAACCTCTCCTGAGTTTAACAAAAAATACCTGATTTGATTGGGTAAGTAAGAGTATGGATAAAATTTGATATTTTAAATCAGATATAAATACGGATATATACTTACCCGCTCCGTACTTTACTCGTACTCGTCTATTTTCATTTTTAATTTAATATCTACTTTCAATTTAATTATATTAAAAGTTTTTAATATTTTTTTATGTGTAATTATTTATTATAATATGAGATAGAGAAATAACTTAATTATAATTATAATAATAAAAAAATAATTTAAAAATATCATTTTTTTATAAAAAAATAAAAATAAAAAATTGACGGATACGGATATGGGTACGGATATACCCAATATCTGACAGGGACAGGAATAGGAATTAAAATTACATACCAGACAAGTACAAGTACGGGAACAGAGATGAATTTAACTCGAGGACGAGAACGGGTATCATAAAACCCGTACCCGACCCGCCCGTCACAGTCCCTATTATAATCTAAACCCTTTCTAGTGGTTCTTGTTACGAACTCTCATGTAGGATTCACCAAACCCTTACCCAACCCCTATCCATCACTCACTTCCCTGATTATGTGGATCTAAAGAAAGAAGAAAAAAAAGTGAAGGGTTTCTTTTCGAGTTTTGTCCCGATGGGGAAACCATAAACTCCTCCATCATGCACAAGATTAAAAAGTATATAGTTGAAATGGGATAGGCCATTATGTTGGTGGGTGGTGCCTACACATAGGATTATAGAGTGTGACATAGCAATGGAAGAAAGAGAATTGTTTTTATCAATTCCCGTTTATTGGGGTAAATGGTGAGGTGGGGTCCAATTGGTGTTTGTCTGGTGAGTTTGGAGGCACTGCACACTCTTTTATGCCCCATCGGTGCCTCTTTACTAGACCAATCTCCAATGTGACCACAACCTCCAACTTCTATAAGAACCCCCCCTTCATCCTAAACCAACTCACAACCTTAACAACACAAACATAAGAAGAAAAAGAAAAGGTCTCCAAAGCAATTAACTCTTGAAATTATGAAGATGGGTAGTCCTAGCATGGGAGGCTCTAAGAGAAGGCTTTCAAGCAGAGGGCTTGGAGGTGCCCTTAGGGAGCAAAGGGCAAGGCTATACATAATAAGAAGGTGTGTGGTCATGCTCCTCTGCTGGCATGACTAGTGCTACTACCATGAGCTTGCTTCCTTTGGAATGGAACAACTTTGCTTGTTATCTCCCTTCTTTCTTCTATTCTTTTCTTTTCATTCATGGTGGAGTGTAAATAGCTGACGGATGGTTATTGTGGAACAGTGTAACAATTTTTTGTATGCCTTGCTAGCCTTATAGATACATATATGGCTTGCCTCTATGTACACAATAATAACACTTAATTATTTATAACAATTTCAATGTTATCATATTTCAGAGTTTACTTTACTATTCATTCTGTTTTGTTCTTTAGTTTTCTTCTGGTTTCTCCTTTTTTTTTTTTTTTTTTTTTTTTTCTTTTTCTTTCTTTGCTGCACTGATTGATTTGGATCATGTTCATGTCCTCCAAGACAATCCATTTAATGATTCTTATCTTGTTCTTCATCTCTGCTGTTCTCTCTCAAATATATGGGGAAAATATATTTTAAGAAAATAAGGCATATAAATAAGTTACTTAGTTACAGCTTGCACATATTCAGAATTCAGAATCTAGGACAAAATATATATCTAAGCATAGATACATCTTTTATGAGCATACTCTGAGATGGTAAATTTGAAGAGTGGTTCTAGTTAAGGGGTATGAGTCACCAAAAATTGTTTTGTCAACAGAACCAGAAGTGTACTTCAGGTTTTTGTATGAATTTTATGAGAGGAGGCTTTATTTTTCCATATTCTTATGGTGCTTATTAATTTGAAGCACTTACCTTCCCACAGATATGGAAACCGAGAAAAAATCTTCAGACACAGTGGGTTTTCTTAGATTGCTAGGAATATTCAAGAGAAACAGGAGTTAATACAAATTCAGATTATATGTATAATTCTTTGGCTTCTCTTTACGATTTCACTGAACTGCAGTAGTTGTCTTGTTCACAAACTATGCTACATTAACTTTATGTTTTACGAGAGTTGTGTGTCAAAGCTAATTTCTAATTTGTTAAAACTATCTACACACAAGTTTTGGCTTATGAAAGATAATGAATTACCCTTCAACAAATAATTTAATATAGTATAAAAAAAATGAAATAATGGTTATTTGAACATATTTTTAATTATATTTATTTTTGTCTCTCAGACTAAAATTAATTTTTTAGTCTTCATAATTTAAAGGAAAAAAACTTATTTCCTTTTTTATATCCAAATTTCGTTAATATGCCACATAAAAATCACTTATTATTAATTATGTCGTATAAAATTAAACATAATATCAAATTAATCGATGATTCACATATAATCTGCCTCTGTCAGTAATATCTCATCTCATGTAATCCTAAAGAAACTAAAACAAATATTTAAAATTAAAACTAAAACAGATAGGAAAAAACACATACTTTAAAAACATATTTAAATAATAAAATTTTACAAAATTTTGCTTAATTACTTATTTAGCATGAACCTTTCACTTAGCGAGCTATAAAGTAGACACGACATAAAGACTTCTTGATATGAAAATACAATAAAAGTATTGGTTAGAATTACGTAGTCAGCTATAGTTAGTGGATCCAAATTAAAATAATGAAAAAAGAGCTTAAAAATGTTGTATATGTGAAAGAATTTTTTTTTTATTCATAAAAATCAAACTTATATTAAAAATTTAAAATAATTTATTGTATCATTCAATCAATTAAACTAAACTTGATTAGCAATTAAATTAATAGCAAGTGACATCAATAATTAGCGGAATGATGTAGGCCCGTTAGACGGAGCCAGGATTTCAATACTGGGGGTGCCATATAGGGGGTGCCATATAGTAATATACATATGAGTTTATATTAAAAATATGAGTTTATATTAAAAATAGGGGGTGCCATATAGTAATATATATGTATATAAAAAAAAATTAAAATTATTGGGGGCCGTGGCACCCGTAGGTCCCCCCTTGGCTCCGTCCTTGCCCGTTAATCATTTGAAGTGAAGATTTTGTTGATGACTCTAAAATGGGAACTGTTAGCACAGTTTTAACATTTTATATGGCTTTTGGATTCTACTTTTTCTTATCTTTTACCCAAAAGGGCGGCATCTATAAAGTGTTTGCAGCTTGAACTTGAACTCAAAAGGTGACAGAATTCTTTTTTAAAGTTTAATTATTGATATGTTAGTTCTTGTATTTTTTGTGAATTTAAAAGTAAGTTTTTATATTTTGGAAGTCTGTAATTGAGTTCTTAAATTTATGAATCATTTTTGGTTGAGTCTTTAAATTGGGATTTCATCATAATTTGTGTGATAATCTTTGAAATTGTCTTCAGTTATGCCATTTTTAGTCATTAAAAAAATATTTTTTAATGATTTTCAAATTTGTTATAAAAAAAATAATATGCATGGTATTTATTATTTAATGATTTAGACCCATTCTAAAAGCAAATAAAGGAAGGCACTTACGATGGATAGATAGTGTTGGTGTTGGGAGCATGAACTGAGTTCAAGTCCATAGGTATGACAAAGACCTTTGGTTGGTGTGCACTAACAATAGGGAAGGTTCACATCAATGGCCTTTATGAAATTGGGACTGTCATTATCTTCTTCTCTTCACCCTAACTAACATTAGATAAACTCTTTTAATTTTTATTAGTTCTCATTCCACTTAGTCTGACTTTAAATCAAATTATTAAGAAAAAAAATTAATGCTTATTCTGATTTCAGTCTCAAAGAAAAAGAAGTGTTTTCCTTTTGTCCAGAAGGAAAAGGGAAAAGAAAAAAAAAGGGAACTAAAGAAGTATTTAAAAAACACTAGACACCGCACTTTTAGCTAAACCAAGCAACAAAAAGTTTGAGTTTATGGTCAAATCTTTAAGTGTGTGTGGGCCTTACTGAATTATTGGCTTCCAGCCCACTTTCACGTGTGCCACGCATCCCCCTTAATGGGCCTACATCTGTTACTAATGCCCTTTGTCATCATCTTTCAGGATCATCAATACTCACCAGAAGAAAGAAAGAAAAAATCATCAACGCAAAAAATTAAATGAATCAATAAATATAAATAAATGTGTAAGATTTGATCTGCTAAAGTTATATTAAAGTATTAGAATTTAGAACCAACGATTCATTTCTGATTTTATTTTATTTTATTTTTAAAATAAAATTTCAGTTTTGAGTCTTATGAATAAAAAAACACAATTTAAAAAAGAAATTTCATTAAAAATAAGTGTCAACAAGTTTTCTAGTATAAATTAATTATTAGTAAGTAACTAATAATATAATTATAAAAAAATATTAGTAATAATTTATAAAAGAAAATACTATGAAAAAACACATGTTAAGTATAATTAGTTAATTTTATAAAGAAAAGTAGGGGTCTACTGAAAAGAGATATAGCATCGGTGATAAGGACTTTTATATTTCCATACACACACACATATGTGTTAGAAGAACTTTCCACGAAATAAAAGACCGTCAATTCGCTCCAAGTCCACAGAGAATAGAATCAGGAAAAATTATTAATTTAATTTGCAAAATTAGTTTCCCTTGTAGTTTTTATTTAATTTAATTTTGTATAAATTACTTCTTGAATCTATAGAAATTATATCAATTATTTTATTTTTAAAATTTTAGATGTTAAAAAGATTGAATTAGATATCAATTATGTAATGTAAGGACTGTCTTTTATGATAATTATTTTTTAAAAATATTAGACTGATATTGGAAAATATTTAAAAACTAAATTGTCAATTGTATAACAAAATGATAGGATATAAGTTTTTGTCGGTGTACAACTAGGATGTATGTTCAAACAGGAATTGATGCACACTTGACACATGAGAAATCGATCTTAATTGCTTTTTTTTTTTATATTATGATTTTAGTTTATAAAATAGGTCAAAATTTACTCTCACTTTTTTCTTTTATCTTATTATATAAATTCATTTTTATCTTTTTCTTTTAAAAAAAATATTTTCATCTTCTAATTTCTATTTTTTAGTTAAGATAATTCCTTTGAAGCATAGATACTTTTTTATGTTGAGACCTAATTTTAATTTTTTATTTAAAACATGAAATTTTTCCTATTAAATTTATCTACATAAAAATTGTAATACTGTGAATTTTAGGACTTGTAATTTTTTTATTTAGAGATATTGTTTTATGTTGAGGAATTATGGAATTCATAAGATTCCTTATGAGTTCTAAGGTAGTAGAAGGTTTTTCTAGGTAGAGATTTAGTTTGACTTTAAGGGGAGAGTATATATAAGATTTCTGTTTAAAATTGAGTTTTATAAATTTCATTCTTCAAAAACTTATAGAGAGAAGTTATGGTCTATGAGTTCTCTTCTTCCCTAGTTCTTCTTGTAGGATGATTTTACTTAGAAATCTCATTCTAAGTTGTGTTGTCTGATGATTCAGGTATGTAGAACCTCGAATCAAGCTTGTTGGTCCGCTCGGAGTTATTTTCTTCTTCTTCTTCCTTCTCCTCTTCTTCTTGACTTAGAGACTTCTGAGATAAGAGAAGTTATATTCTTGAGTTTGTTGAATTTTTGGGCTATTAGTGGATTAATTTTTATGTTTAAAATGTTAGATGGTTACACTTACATGGTGAAATTGCATGATTTTGATGGTTGTAGTTGAACTTGGGGTTTTGGGTTCATGAAGGTGAATTTGATGAGGTGTGGTGATTTCTAGTTACATGTTGAATTTTTTTGTCGAAAAGAGTTGTTTGTGTTGAGTAGAAACAATATCTTGTGTTGTATGTTTGACTTTGGGTGAGTTTCAGATGAATCGAGCAAAATTCGTAATTTACATAAGTGCAGAACTCGTGTCACATTAGGCACGGTGATGTCGAACGTGAAGAGAGAGATTTGTCTTGGGTTTGAATGTCGTCGAGCATAATCTGAATGACATCTAATATGAGAGCATTAGAAAGTCTCTGACTTGGTGATGCCGCACTCCTAGTCGAGTGGCACCTGGCGTGGTCATGCCAACACTCTCTACCTAAGTGATGTTGAATGTTAGTATGGTGATATCGGACGTGAGTTAAGTAAAGACTCTCTACTTAAAATGATGTCAAACGTGTGACTTTGTCACGCTAGACGTGAGGTCCTAGGAACCTCTACCTTATCCACATCAGATGCGAGTTGTGATTTTGCACAGAAGTTACTCCCTCTATTTTTTATTCATAGTTGTTTTGACATTAATTTTTTGTTCTTTTTTATTTTCACTTTTCTAAAATCAATGACTTATTAATTTTATTTTTTATTTTTATCTTTGATAATTAATGTGTGTTTATTAAACAATGTATTTTTTCATTTTTCAGTATACCTATTTTTTCTCCAACTACCTAAAGGGTATAACAGGAAAATAAGTAATAAATACTTTAAAAAACTAAAATATCAATCATTTTTTTAATTCTTGTGCATAACCTTAAAGTCAAAAATAAAATAAAGAAAGTAATAATTATATTAATTTTGTGAAAAATGAAAAAATAGGAAAATAAAATAAAATAAAATATACTCCAATGAGTGAATGTTGTGTTGGTTTGGTTTGGTTTGGTTTGGTCAAATTGCATTGCAAGCTTAGGGTACCCACGTGCGCCTCCCTTATCCCATAACCCCACCCCGTCCTTTTGATTCTTTTTCAGTCACACCTTGTCCACTTATCATACATCCCCCTCTCCTCATTTTCTAGACTCCCTTTTCTCTCTTATCCTCTTATTATAAGTTATAACAACAACCAAATCATTCATACCTCTCTTTTATTTCAACCTTCAAACATGTCTCTTAACTAAATATATGTCAAATAATTTTCAGAATTGTAATACTTCCCAACAACAAGAATACTCAAAATAATGCAGCCACAGGTTGATTACTTGCATTAAACTGCATACTGCATACTCATACACTATTGCATATACATTTTATTGACTGTGTATAGTTCTAGCTAACACTAAACAGACGATACATCTTTTTCCAATCTCCTTTGTTTACAATCAACATAGTACACCACAAAAGACACCCACTTGATGATGTTTGCCAAGGCAACCAAACTAATCTGCACCACCAAGATCAATATTTTACTTCCCCCACCATCCATGGCTATGAACAGGCACACTATTCTCAATCCGAGTCTCCAAATAAGACAAGCAACCATCAAGAGAATTCCATTGCCCCTGTTCTCTCTGCTAAGATATGAAGCCACCACCAAAGCCACGTCACCTTCTTTATCTTCCAAGATGGAAATAACGGTACCCATTTCCCACACAGCACCCCACTCAAGATATAGTCTCAACAAAGCCACAAACATCACCAAAAACACCAACACCAACAAACTGCCAACACGCAGTAGTATATAAATGTACACCAACAATGACAACAGCCCCAGGGATAGCATCGAAGTCAACACAAGAGTGTAGATGGATGTGATGAGAGGCCCTTTAAGCCTCGAATCCATTAAATGTTTGGTCAACATTTCCTTAAGAGTCAAAGTCTCGTTACCTGCGTGTATAACCGAAGCTGAATTCACGGTTGCAACGGTGTTGAAGAAATCGCACAATTGGATGATCCCCAGGTGTGACAAAATCAGTACTAACAAGTTATGAGAAACTTCGCCAATTAAACGGTCAACAACCATTACTCCTTTCCTAGAAAGACATAACAAACAATCTGAATATGATTCAGCTCCTTCCTTGTGCAACACTTTAGCAGCTTCAGCTAAGGTTTGCATAAACAAACTTTCGTACATGAATAAAGAGCACAACAGAGGAAGTGAGGTGAGGCAGGTGAAGATGAACTTGGGATTCTTACAAGTGATTTTCACAGCTTCTTTCATTATCCCCAAAATTCCTAGTTTCTCTTTCGACATTCTTTGGTTACCCTCCATTTTCTTCGCTCAAAATCTCTGTCTTTTCTCCTTTGTGAAGTGGAATTTTTCTTCAAGGAGGGATACACTATCTTGAGTTTTCAGTCAATATTGACGGCGTTGCAGTCGTCTACACGGTTGACTTCCTGCACCCCAATATAATAAGATGTTAAATATGAGAATATAATTTTAAATTTTTCTACAATTTTTTAAATAAAATAAATATTTTTATTTTTTTAATGTGTGGCTAAACTGTTTATTTTAAAAAATCACCTACAAAAAATAACTCATATTTTCTTCTTTTAAAAAAATTTAAATTCTTTTTTATAATTACTACTATCATTATCACGAATGAATTAAGTTTAAATTCTTTCTTACTTTCATGAAGAAAAAAATACGCGTCTTCACATTAAAATCCTTGTTTCATCGTTTGTATCTCCGGAGATGTAAGGAGAAGAAAATGCTTACAAAAAGACACCGACAATTATACAGGGTGTTGATAGGTGAGACAATAAAATACCCAAGAATCATGATGATGATCATCATTAGTAGTGATTAGTTAAGAGAGGTTTATTATAATCTTGAGACATTGCCTTACACTTTTTTTCATTGATAAAAAGCATTTCTGTAGATATTTTCTTCAAACCTTATTGTTCATATTAAGACCAAGGGTTTGTAGTTTCATATGTCATAGCCGACATATATGATGCGATGTTGCAATTGGTGACAAAGTCATTAAAAAAAGAACACCTTAACGCATTGTTGTTCCTTTTAACCAAGCATATAATTCAGACGTTATAGCTGTAGTCCAATACGGGAAGAAAATGGATTTTGCACTATAAACTCCAAAGGAAGTAATATGATTGATCGACTTTTCTTCTCCAATGAACTGAACCAAAACAAGTAATAATTTTGCAACTCGTCATTGTCTAGTCCAGATCATTTGTCTGTGAATAACAGCACAGCCAGCATTGTCTTTGGTCCAATAACCAGATATTTTGAGCAGTGTAAATTGACCTTGGCCAGTTTATGTTGCCCCGTGAAGGATTGCACTAGAATAAGAGACATAATTTCATTATGATTTGGATTGTCTCATCTTAGATGACCCACAATTTTCTCATACAAAGACCACAAAGGAACCATTACAGTGTGTGTCTCTCTCTTCTAAAATGGCACGTTAAGATGTAGGAATCCAAAGCTAACAAAGAGAGGGGAAGGGGGGAAGGATTTTCAAATGTTTCTAGATATTCAATTACATTTGGGTAAGTAAAGACATAGGCAATGCAAGAAGATAAGGTGATCAACTCATAATTGTAAGACCTTATAATGCATCAGTAAATACAGCTGTTCTTATCACCCCAAAACTAGTAGCAGTATGACAGTAGAGAAGAAACAAACTTAAGAAGGATGGTATCAGAAGTAAGAAATAAAGCTTGAAAGATTAGCCAGGCTGTTTATTTTTTTCACAACAGCAAAGCCAGCATTAGTCTTAAGTCTTTTATTATTATCACTTAAAAGTCTTGGCCAGTTGTAAAGAATGACTTAAAAGGGTTCGGCCTAAGCTCTCGCGGGGCACCCTCTAGACCCAATAGGTATTAATGCTATTGCTACCCCTGAAAATGAAAGTATAGTCGTGGATAGCTCTTACAAATCAACACAACCTGGAATAAGACTGTAACACTAAATGTTCATGAATCTGGCAGCACCATAATACATTTTATGTTTTTAAACAGAGTTTAATGGTAGACAATGCATTTGAACATAGGGACATTAACACTTTAAAAAGTTCAGTAACAGTAACATACACGTGTATCTGTAACTTTCAGAGTGAGATACATGTGTCTGTCTACATGTAGGCAAGTCAGGTCTACATCCAAGATCTGAGAACCTAGAAGGGACAGACTATAATTTCACCAACAACAAAAGCAAAGCATTGATTCAGCATGGTTGAACAAAGTATCAAAACACAAGCTCACTGTCTACCATTACAGCCCAATCAGTCAAGCAAAGAAGTAACAGTTCAGTTTACCCATGATCCTAAAATGAAAATTTATCCAAAAAAAACATTACAAAAATCTTTAATTCCATCTGATGTGAAGAACCATATTAGTCAATTGCTTTGCAGTCACCCCAGGAAATAAAACTATCTTGTGTACTGAAATCCTACAGAAACAAGAAATGCATTGCCAATCATGAAAATTAGGAAGGCGTGACAATTAAAATGAATTCAATGTAATGCCAAATCATTGAGAACATGGACATACCAGCTGACTTAGTCGCAATTCTGATGGCACTGTCTCAGGCTCTACATTTGTAGTGTCAAGGACAAGATTTTGGCACTCTTCAATATCTTTCTTCAGATGCTCCGGTCCTAGATGAGCATAAACAGAAAGACTGGGTCGTTTCTTGTGTTCATTTTCCCCATCCCTGCTGGGAGACTGGCTTTGAAGGAGATCATCACACAAGAACAATGCTTCCACAAGTTGTTGTGAACTCAACAGATTCTGCGACTCACTATCCCACCATTTTGAGTCTTCCTCAGCATTGTTTTCTATATTATCTATCCCTTTATTATTTTGAGTGTCTACCACCAATAGATCATCTTTTGCAAGATCTTCACAATCAGCCTGAAGGTCATCTATACAATCCATCTGAGGATGCTTTGGTAGAATATAGAGCAGAAGTCAAAAACAGAAGAACAAGAATTATCAACTTCTGTAGGTACTATTTTTCACATTTCCCACCAGCAGCAGTTATCAAAATTAATCTCACAAGACTTTCGAATCATTGTCATTCAGATCATAAAAATGTATGAAGTTAAGAATCTTAGAAAAGTGGTTAGGTGGCATTGCAATATTGGACTATGAAGCACCGACACATTTGCAGAATGTCATATCAGCATGTCCGATACGTTTCTAACACGACACTTGTCAACACATGTCCAACACATCTACATATGTCATAATTAAAAATTATTATTTTTTATTTAGACACCTCTCCAACACAACTTTAACATCTTTCTGACATGACTTGAACACAAACTAAGACAGTAGGTTCACTTTAACTCTTAGCTAAACACTTATCTAACACTCTTATTATAAATAAAAAAATAAACTAAAGTCAACTTATTTATAAATATTGCAAAACTCATCATTTTTTTTATCTATTACAAATCTCATTTTCATTAGAATTACTCGATGTTTTAACTTTTAAGAGATATGTTTCATCTTCTAAAGGTCATTATCATATAAAAATTGTAAAACTTATATATACATGTTGTGTCCTCATGTCTTACTTTTTGGACATTAGATGTGTCTCGGTGTCCGTGCTCATGTCGTGTCAGATATTTGTGTCAAAGTTGGTGTTTCATAGGTATTGGGAGCAGAAGACAAATAAAACCGATTAGAAGTGTATGAAATCAATTAAAAGTAGTTGCACAACTAAGCATGCATCTATTGGAAGCAAAACCATATGACACAAACATCTACTCCGAAAAATGCCACACCATAGCACATCCTTCAATCAAATTAGCCTGGTTCGTTAGCATAAGCAGTAACATGTTTGGTGTCGTGCTGTAGAAAAAAAAAACACAAACGGAACTTTCTATATTAGATATTTAGATTAATAGCAACTTTCATTTTGATTTTGACATCTTAGCAAAATACATGCCTAAGATTAAATCCAGATACAGCGCTTAAAATGCTTTTGGGTGAAGAAAAAATGAGCCCAAATTGCAAAAGAACAGCTACATTTTCATTACGTGATGCATCCTCTTCTTAAAATATAGCAAAACATGCGGGAAGAAAGTCTGGCAGATGATAAATGGAAAGATATTTTAGATTTGCTAAGAATAAACGGTTGAAGGTTTTACCTGAGGAATATGACGTGATTCTTCTTTTAGTTTTAGGTCTAGATTTGAACATTGCTTTTCAATACGAGGAGGTTCAGGAGTCACAGACTTGGGAGTGACTGGATCCACTTTCAATAAAGTTGCTTCAGTAATTTCAGGAATATCCTGGTCATCGTTTTCACCAAATTTGACTTGCAGCTGCTGATAAAAAACTTTAGAGATAACATACTCTCCATCCTTTTCATCCTCTTGTGTTCCTAGATGATATTGATGCATGACCCAATTAGTTTTTTCAGATTTTCCTCCTCTCACCAGGCTTACATACAGGACCATAATCTTTTTGCAGCCTTTTTGAACCCCGTTGAAGATGACAGGTTTAGTCCTTCCAGTCTTGTGCCAGCGGACGTCACCAAAATCCTGATCACATATTTTTCGACGCTTTCGACTGCCAGTATTATAAGCCTTGATTGCTCGATGGAAAAAATGGGAAGCATTTCCATCTTGCTTGACACCTAAAAAGGGTAATCATAAGCTAGTTATGTTCATTGAGATTAAAAATCTAGCATTAACATTTGCATAGAACTCATGATATCCACCTGGTAAATGTTGAGGATGAGTATAACAAATCCCCCCATCCGCTTCAAGAGTAGTAATAAATTCATCAATGAAGGGGTGCGGTCTTGAGTTTCCTGCACCAACTTTTGCAAGCAAGTGCCATATTATCTCTTGATCAGATGGATCAAATTTAACGCCTTTAGGTAGTCCAGGCCACTCCTGTGCTACCTAACAACAGAAAGATTTCAAATGAGCAGAGCATCTATAACTATAAACGCAACACTTGGGGACAAAATGATGAAGTTTAGAACTTAATTTCATTATATGTTTAAGCTTTTCAACTCAATAATGCGAATGAACTTTTAGGACACATTGTTGTGACTCCAGATACATATAGGACTAACCCTTACGCTGATACAGTAGATCGTAATCCAAATTAAATGAGGAATCATGAAATGCTAAAAAAATATATATATGAAAACTGATGGTAAAAGAGAATGCAACATATTCTAAATTGCTCTTTAGATATAATCAAAATACTATTAGATATCCTTCATATATTCTAACACTCCCCTTGAGCTAAAGTTTACTAAACTTTAAGCTCGTCACAATTGAACCCTTTAAATATAATATTGGCTCAACAACACAATCATGGCTGAAATGATTGTCATCCTAGGACTTGAGAACCTAGGGTCAGAGTGTGTAAGGAGAAAAGATTGGTGGGGCCATATCACGTCTGGAGTTGAGATCAGGCCAGACAACATCTGGGACAAAAACTCAGGCTAGATCACATTTGGGGCAAACATTGGTGTGTGCTAACCATGTTCAGGACTGACATCAAAGTCAGGCCAAATCAGGACCAAAATTGGGGCTAAATCGCAACTTGGACTAAGCTGAGAAATTTGAATTGTTTTATACCCTTCTCTCTGCCTAGACACAAGACCCAGTTACTTCTCTATCGGAGTTGAAAATTCATCTTCATGCACTCATGATATGAATATTAGTAATGAACTTCTTGGTGCTACAAGAGCTGGAACTGAATATACGCAATACCACAGACAGCAATCCTACTTCCACAGAAAACATATCTATATGCAGTTGAAAATAGCAACAGCCACATAACTTTTATATTCAAAAGAAAATAGTAAGTGACTCATCTGTTGTTAATAGCTAAGTGGTAGTAAAGGAAAAAATAAAAAAGTCATAGCTAGCCTTAAACTGATTTCACCATTTGAATACAAACTAAGCATACAACATGATGACAGTTTCCCCTGGAGAGTAGAGACCAAGCATAAAGAATAGTGACAGTTTCTTTCCTACATGTAAATATTAAAATACTTCCACATTAATATTTTGCAATCCAACCAGTTAGGACAATTCATTTCTCTCACTTTTTTTCTTTAAACGTATAGTAGTTCCAACTAAGGCATGAATGAAAAACACTTCCTTTCTCATATACAATCACTCGCATAGAACATCAGTGACAAAACTCCGCAAAGAACCATAATTACTATCAAGACTAGTATAATTATGAGGTAACGTATTAGTAAACAAACAAAAGCAAAAAAATATAAGGGACGTTTAGTACACAAATTTTTTTTACTTTTCCTAGAATCTAACGTTGGGAATGTTAGTTTCCCGCCTTTGGTTTCTTATTTAAAAAATAATATTCCTTGGAAACATTGTTTCCTAGGAACGATTTTTGTATAAGTTTTCTATGAAAATATTTTCTTGGGAGAGGTGGGAAACTAATATTCCCAAGGTAAAAATAAAGTTTTAATGTGGTAAAAGCATCATGTTACCTTTATTTGGTTATTTAATGCAGAAAAAAATTCTTGATTCTCAAGTAAAATTTATAAAAATTCCCACAAATATTTATAACTAACCAAACAGATTTTCATCATTCTTAGGAATCATGATTCTTAAGATTTATGATTCCCATGAATCATGTTTCCCAGACATGAAAAAATTTGCTGTGTACTAAATGCCCCCTAAGTGAATAAGGTTGAGCGTGAACATTTAATATGAAATTAAATTTACATGCACAACTGCGGTATATATGCAGAACAAATGTTCTGGCAAAATATACTCTAGAACAAAAGGCTAGATTAAAAAGATACACATACATCACTGTTGTCAATAACATGTTCACAATTTGGGCAAGCTCTCGCGGGATTGCTTTTCCATATAACTTTTCCACATGAGCCGGAAGCACTCATTATTTTGGTTGCAATTCTACTTTTGTCCACCAACCATGATGTTCTACATATACAAGTAGAGACACAAATTTTAACAGTCTGAGACCATGCATTACTATAGAACATAAATCAATAATAAAATGGTTCACAAAATAATAACAATAATCACTTATCTCATGCTTCCAAAGGATAATGCATATCAAGAAATAATACAAGTGGTAGAATTAATGAAAGACTAATTCAAACGAGGAAAAACACTCGACCCTATAAAATCAGTCTAAAGATGTCTTAGAAACTCAGGAAGATACACAATCTAAGAAACACATTAGAATAAAATAATAATTATTTGGCAGGAACTACCTAGGTCCATTTAGTAAATTTTGACATTTTGAACAAGTTCTGATTGATAAACTTATGATCAAAATAATAGTTCACAGGGAAAAATTTCCAGAAAAACTGTTTCACTGTTAAAATTAAGCAAAACCAAACCACTAGCTTACTTACTATTAAAACTCACATAAAGTAAGCAGCAGACTACCGTTTCAATTATATTTAGGGAAAACACAGAAAATAGTAAAACAAAGAGGGGGGAAAACATTTCCTACAAATTAAATTTGAAGTTAAAAAAAGAATCACCGTGATCGGATATTAAACACGTTTTTAAAGCGCGTTCCACTATTAAAAGTGTCATCAGAAAAGGGTGAAGAATAAAGGAAACAAAAATTCAGACTTTGAATTGCTTACGGTGATCTTCCATTTAGTTCACACTAATAGAACAATGAACAAAGCAGGGGCAAAGGCAACTCAGAAAAACAGAACCGAAACCCCAAAAAAGGTGTGATTTTTGCATGAAAGTAGGAAACCCCATTTGCAATATAGAAAGAGAAGCAGAAGACAATGTTGGAAGATGTTGGAAAGGAAAATACATACCCAGCCATTGTCATTGCAAAGGTCGGAGAATGAATGATGCAATCAAGTGTGTTTGAGAGATTCAAAACCGTCTCTTTATGTGATTCTTCTCTTTCCCTCTCTCGACTTTCTTCCTTTTATTTTTCTCGTTTTTAAATGTTATTTTATTTTATTTCTTATCCAAACCTTTTTGATTACTAAAGTTTTTTTTATAAGTTTAAAAAAATTATTTTGAAATTGTGCAGCGAGGTATTTTTAAGATATTTTCAACTCATTTATTTTAACTTCTTCGAAAAATAAATATTAAAATTATCTGCTTTTATATTATAATAATTAAGGGGGGAAAGTTACTTTGTAACTCAAAATATTTCTAAAAGTAAAATAAAAAATATATATATATATATAATATGAGAAATTATTTAGAGTTAATTAATAATAGTCATTAAAAATATTTTTTTTAAATAAGGAGTATTATCATTCATAATTGTGAAGATGAAAAATAATTATGAGAATAGTATTTTTTTAATTCATTAAAAAAAATTTGATAACTAAATTATTTAAACATTCAAGAGTACTAGTGTAACATTGTAAGTTTTTAATTATTGTCTTTTAGCAATAATTATTTACCATATGGTATTTGAGGTGTGTTAGTCTGGTTATTTTTTTAGAATTTTTTGCCAGAGGTCCAATTCACCTTGAGGGAATAAATAATAAATTTATGTTCTCCAAACAGTTGACCTTCACTAAATTTTCTCTCAATTAGACGATTTTTTCCTGGAATCATCTATGTATTTGTGTACTTTGATTTAGGACCCTAATGAGCTAAATCATAGTGTTTAGTGCATAATTTTTGTACTCAAAGTTTGGAGTAGTATTTTTCCTTCTTCCTTCCTCTTCTTTCCGTACTTACATTTATAATGTATGCATGTTGATGGATTTTTGGATGCTTGGATGTAAAGTAGTGGATTTGGGGTTTTAAGCACTTGAGTGCAAGTTGATGGTTTGATCTCAATTTTTGTTGCATGTTGGATTTTGGTGTGAAATGAGATGAGATTGGTGTATATTCATGTTTGATACGTTGCATGCTTGGGAGTTTTTTTTTTATTTTTAGGTGGTTTTGGGTAAAATTCAGTTTCATTTGTAGATTTATGATGTCATGTCGAACATGTCTTCATAACATCGGCCATTGTTCCAACCAAAGGTTTATCTTGTCCACATCGAACATAAGATTGGTAGCACTAGATGTGAGGAGAGATTCTCATCTCATATTGGAATGACGCTAGGCATGGTCTAAATGACGTCAAACATGAGAGCATTGAAAAGTTTCTAACTTGGTGATGTTAGGTCCCAAATTTGGTGACATTAAGCGTGATCAAGGAAGAGGTTCTCTACTTAGACAATGCTAGGCACCAATGAGGTGATGCCAAGCACTAGTGACATGACATCAGTCGTGAGTCAAGCAAAGGTTTTTTCTCTAATATGAAGACAAAAATAAATTTTGTCACGCTAGGTGTGAAGTCTCAAGGGTTCCCTACCTTAGTCATGTCAAATGCGAGTCAAGTGGCATTGGATGTGGATGAGGTAGAAAGATATCTACCTCAATCGTGTCAAGCGTAAGGCACATTGCATTAGGTGCAAGTTGTGTTGATTATACATGTTGTTGATGGATGAATTAGTGAACATGAATAAAGTATTTGAGTTTATTGCATGTTGTATGATGTTTGATGAACATTAACTTTATATATATTGATATAGGCTAATATATGCAGATGTGATATGATGTATCATGGATACGAGCATTGATATGCTATATATAGGATTGATATGCAATAAATTGCATGGTTGGAGTGTTCATTTGGTATTAGTATGTTATTATTGAATAAGTCGTTGAGCATTGGTATGTTAATTATGGTTGGTGTGATTTGATCTCTATATGCATTGACCTGAGGTAATGTGTATAGATGATGCATGTTGATACGTTGATGTTGAGAATATAGTAGGCATTGAAGCATATTGGTTGATTTATGATTAAAGGAGATAATTTTGTTTAAAAGTTGAAGATCTCATATAGGAAATCTTGTTTTGGTACTCTGGGAGGCCAATTATTGAAAACCCTTATTGAGTAGATGTGAAACTCTTAGAGTGGGTTTTGTTGAGTCTTCTTTAGGTCCTTGTCAATGTGGAGTAAGGTATGAAGTTAAGATTTAAAATCCTTAACTGATTAATGGAAAAGTTGCATGGTTCCTTGCAGATAGTTAATGGGCTAACTCCATATGTGACTTGGTAATGCATGTCAAGGTCGTGATATGTTTATACCCAACTATACTAATCATAGTGATGGAACTAGGCTTTCCTAATGTAAGTGACAACACCTAAGAAATCAAAAGTAGAGATTGGTATCCCATTTTAGTTGTTGATATAGCAAACGCATTGGGTGTGAAAATGGTTGGGTTGGTTCGGTAAGGTCAAGTCGATTAAATTATTCAGGTGTATTAAGAGATCTCGATAGGTGGATTTGTGACAACACATTAGTTGTGGTGTGTGGTTGTGATATGGTGAGTTGATTATTGTTCATGTGCATTAGATGAATACCTTGTTGTGTGGTATGATTGTGGTGAGTGTTTGAATTGCTTGGATGTTTAGCTTTCAAACATGTTGATTATTGTATGTTGTAAACCATGTGACATGTTTTGGTTGGTTTACATGTTGGAAAGTAGTATAGATGTTTCTTCCTATACTTGTATGTTTTTTAAATCTAACTTACTCTTATTTGTTTTCCATGTAGTATGAATTGTGATGATATTGATTTTTAATGGAAGTAAGGCAGAGTTAGCTAAAATGGGTTCTTGGAGTAATTGTGAGCCACACTAGTGGCAATCTAGTCAATGATTATCTTTGGGGGGTATGTATAGTTATGTTTGATCGATACTTAAGATTTTATTCTATCTTTATACTAGATGATACATGTACTATTGTTGAGTTGTTTTTAGTTACTTATATTTATATACATGTTTTTTTTTTTATAAGCAATATTTATATACATGTTATAGTGTGAATATCTAGTTATTTATATCTTTCAGTACGAGATAGTTTTGTCGCTATTGGTTGTGATCCATAACTAAAATTTATACAAATAAATATTATGTTTGAACATATAAATCATATTTAAAATATTGTATAAATAATTTTTAAAAATATAAATTATATTTTAAAAATTTTATAAATAGTTTATATTGTAACACAATATAATTGTTATCTATTAATAATTTATTTTTAAAA